GAGATCCAGACCAGAACTTAGCTGGAGATCCTGGCTAGAGATCCTGGCTAGGCTGCTGATCAACTAAACACTGTCTCCGTGTCCTTCCTTCTTCGCCGACTCCGTCTACACCTTTGGGGACCCCTGGACCTGCTGGGGTTGGACTCCGGCAGTTCAATTGTTGCTCCCATGGCCTCTCAAATAGGCAAAATGAAGACATGGGCCACATTCTACCTGAGACAACGGTCGCCCTCTTTATTCCATTTCACTGTGCCTGGCTGGGCCATCCAGGCAAGCTCCCGAAAGGATGATGTTCCTAGGCCACCTGCTTGCAGATAATGGCCAGCTTTATACAATGCCTCCAATTAAACAGCAAGGAAATACTTTTTTTTTTAAAGAGCCTCACTTTTTATTTATTTTTTAAAATATATTTTGTTGATATTTTACAGAGAGGAAGGGGGGAGGATAGAGAGTTAGAAACATCAAAGAAAAAGAAACATTGATCAGCTGCCTCCTGCACACCTCCCACTGGGGATGTGCCCGCAACCAAGGTACATGCCCTTGACCGGAATCGAACCTGGGACCTTTCAGTCCGCAGGCTGACGCTCTATCCACTGAGCCAAACCGGTTAGGGCAAGGAAATACATTTTTTAATCATAATGCTTTTTTCTTCTCATCACAGCGATATCTACATCACAAATAAATTGCTTTGCTTTCCTTAAATTTGAAGTCTTATGACTCCTGCCAAATCAAGGAACTAACACAGGCTGCTGACTTATTTCCATAGCCCAACTGTGAGATGCCACTGAAGTAAGAGCAGGTCATGGGCCACAGGACTAGTCTGAATGGGAGCCAGCTCTGCAGGAAGAATGACGTGGCTCCTCCTGGGAGGTATGGGCAGCCAGAGGCTGTCGGGCAGCTGAAGAAAACTTGGAATAGTTTCCTACACTGTACACATTCTCGTCCTCCATGGTGCCTTCATGAGACAGTTGAGCATCAACCTATGAACCAGTAGGTCAGGGTTCAATTCCCGGTTGGAGCACATGCCCAGGTTGTGGGCTCCATCCCCAGTGTGGGGTGAGCAGGAGGCAGCCGGTCAGTGATTCTCTCCGATCACTGATGCTATCTGTCTTTCCCTCTCTCTTCCTCTGAAATCAATAAAAATATATCTTTTTTTAACAAGACACTATCATCACAGTAAAATGCAACCCTCAGCACGACAGAAAATACTTTCAAGTAATTTGGTGGCTGTAGGACCCATGACCTACACAGACCAAAGCTACTCACTCTTCATTTACCTGGAAATAGGCTTTTAATGAAACTCCACTTTTCCATCTTCACATCTGAACACACTTAATAACATAGACAAAAGCCATGAAGTCCGCTGGAAAATAAGGGATACAGAAAAGAAACAACTCACCTGGGATTTGCTCATTTTTTGTTGGTCTTGGAAGAGTGTGGAAACCTGGGAAGGCATTCCTGGAAACTGGAAGAGGAGGAAAGAGGAACAGAATGAGAGCTCGCTGGCCCGGCAGCACCTCCACTGTCCTAAAAACCTCCACACGCCAGCTGGTAACCTTCAACCCTGGAGGAGGAGAGGAGGGTAACACCCGTGCCTTTCTGACTCCTTAAATCTGCGATGTTCACTCCTTTAATTACCTGTCTCCCTCTCACTAACACAGAAACATTAAAACAGAAGTATCTCAAAAGACGAAATAGGACGCCTTAATTAAAACTGGTATTGAGGGGCGGGGGGAGGGGGGACACCTACAAGGTCTATTTTGTACATCCGAGAATCCTCATAAGGCTTTCGAAAAGGGGAGAGGTGCTTAAACACAGGCCTTTAAAAACAAAACACAACCGTTTCTTCCACCTGAAACCTGTATAATTTTGTTAACCAGGTCACCCCAATAAATTCAATAAAAAGGAAAAGATAAGAGTCCCTTCCCCACCAAAAAAAAAGTCCTGTTTCATCTCATTTGAAGGGATGTTTCTCCAAAGGGCCTTTTAGGAGGAATTTGTTTCCATGTGATTGTGTGGCCAGCACCAAGGCAGGAATTGGGAACTCTGACTTCTCCCGTTCACTTATTGATCCTAGATGAGTCATTTCTTCTTTTACTTTTTTTTTTTTTTTTTGCCTTCGGTCAAATGACACAATCGATAACCCTGCAAACCCTCCCTGAACTGCTCTTGACCCGTAAGATGAAAGCCAGAGTAGCCCATCCCCAGATGCGGGCATGCTCACTGGACGTGGGTAGGAAGCTGCCCGGCTTCTGCACAGCATTCGTGGAGAATGAAGGGGGAGGAGATGCCATTGGGGGGGGGTGGGAGTTGAAGGCAAAGGCACCCGCGCCGCGGAGTCCGCCAGCACCCCGACAATGCGAGCGATTTCTCCCAGCCCATCCCTAGCGACCGACCGCCAGTGCCCGTGGCCTCCTCCCCGCTGCAGGGGGCGCGCAGCCCCCGGCCCTGCTCTGGTTTCGACCCGCCGCCTCTGACGCTCTGACGGGCCTCAGGTCAGAGGCTGCAGAGGGGGCGGGGTTCTTCGCGGTGATTGTCCGGCCCTGACGCCCCTTCCTTCCGGCCTCGGTGGAGCTGCTGGGCCCCAGCAGAGCCTGGAGGACAAGCTCGCTTTAGCCGGAACCTCCATAGGGCCCGGAACCCCCAGGCGGCACTCCTACGCGCGCCAAGCAGGAGCTGGGACGAAGGCGGGGGCACGGCGGATGCGCGCCCGACAGCGCAGGTGCCGGTCTCCCTAACCCGGGCAGCTCTGCAGGCCGCGCTCGACGGTGCAGCACCGTCCACGGCGCTCGGAACCTCCAGGAGCCTCGGGGCTGGGACCGCCGCCCGCATGCGGCGCACACACTTCCGGCGCGGACTGCGGCCTCGGACCCACCCCGAGGACCGCGCCGACGGCAGCGCCGGGCTCCGGACGCGGTGTCCGCGCAGGGCGCACAGCCGCGCTCACCTCCGCTGCCTCGTCCGCGGGGCCCGGGGTCTTCGCTCGCGCCCCTACTCTGTGGACACGGCCCCCACGGCCTCCGGCCGCCCGACGGCCAGGCCCCACGCGCCCGCGCCCAGGTAGGCGGGAGCCCGCCGGATACCGCCCGGGAGCGACGCGCGCCTGCGCACAGAGCTCACGCAGCGCTGGTCTCACGGGAGGCTCCGCCCACACGCGGGGCGGAGCCTGCGCGGAAGCCTTCCCGACCCCCCACCCCCACTTCTCCCCGCCTCCCCGACGTCACCGCACCGTGGGCTCCTGAGCGGACTCTGGCCCTGGGATGGGGGCCTCCCTCTCGCCGCCAAGCGAGGCAGAGACTGGGTCATAGAGATGAGAATGTAACCAAGTGAGCGCAGCCACGCAATTTTTTACAACATGAAGGAGAAATAAAGGAGGGGGCAAAATTTAAGATGCCATGCCTGAAAACTGGAAGGCGGTCCAAATGCACAGCAACGAAAACAAAAAGAGCATCTGGAGCGCGTTCTCCCAGGGATGGCTGCGCTGAACCGGGAGGTGCGCATCTTTCTGACGTTTTTACCAAAGATACTTCTATTGATTTCAGCGAGGAAGGGAGAGAGACAAATCAATGAGAGAGAATCATTGATTGGCTGCCTCCTGCACGCCCTCTACCGGGATGGAGCCGTGAAGCCCGCAACCCAGGCAAATGCCCAACTGTGACTTCCTGGCTTGTAGGTCGAAGCTCAACCACCGAGCCACATCGGCTGGGCTGCCATGAAGAAAAAAGAAAAAAAGATCAGGAGGAGCCAGAGAACAGGCCTGGGACAAACGGGCAAAATAGTTATTTCTATGTAAGGTAAATTTCACCTCCATGTTAAAAAAGGAAGAAGAATCTGTTTGGTGTTCCCAATTTCCTAGAAATGCCTTTAGAAGTACATAAATCTGCCCAGCCTGCATGGTTCAGTGGTTGAGCATTGACCTATGAACCAGGAGGTCATGGTTTGATTCCCGGTTGGGGCACATGCTTGAGTTTCAGGCTCCAGCCCCAGTAGGGGGCGTGCAGGAGGCAGCCTGCCAATGATTCTCATCATTAATGTTTCTATCTCTTCCTCTCCCTTCCTCTCTGAAATCAATAAAAATATATTTTTAAAAATAGAGAAATGCAAGCCATTTACCTCTCTGCGAAATGGACAAGATGAAAACAACTGTTGATGTCCTGTGTTGGTGAGGCCACGGACCAAAAGCACTTCCTCACTGCACTGGAGAATATGCTATTGGACTGGAGTCAGCCTTTCTTGGTGGCATGTAGTTATAGCCAAAAATGTAAATATGCATGCCCTTTGACCCAGAAACATGAACAGTTATATTAAAAATCTGTATGACTGCACAAAGATATATGTGCAAGAACCCACATTCAGCCCTCGCTGGTTTGGCTCAGTGGATGGAGCGTCAGCCTGAGGACCCAAGGGTCCAGGGTTTGATTCCGGTCAACAGCACGTATCTTGGTTACAGGCTCCTCCCGGGCTCAGGCCCTGGTTGGGGCTCCTTCAAGAGGCAACTAATCAATGTGTTTCTCTCACATCGTTTCTGTCTTTCCCTCTCTTCCACTCTCCCTGAAAATCAATGGAAAAATATCCTCGGGTGAGGATTCACACACACACACACAGAATCCACATTGCAGCATTGTTCATAATAGTGAGACGTTGGAAACTACCAAACCCCACTGACAGAATGGTGACATCAATTGTGATCCGTGCATGGAATGAAATGCTGTGATGGTGCAGTTAAAATGAGGGAGGTACCTGTCAGGGCGGAAAGAATGTCATGTATATATTATGTGATAAAATCAAGTTGCAAGAAAATATATCAAGTATGTTCATAGTTTTAAAACATTTCCACGGACATGGAAGCAATGTGCACCCACGCCCCTGCAGAAGCCACGGCCCCTGGTGGCTGTTTGTGGTATGACTCTTTAGGGCACGAAAAGTGTACTTAATGCATTTTTGTACTCTTGGAATTCTTACAACTAGCGTGCATTTTGTAAACAGGAAAAAAAATTAAGTAATGAACAAGGATCATAAAGCTTTATTTAATAAATATAACCAAAATTTCAAAATGCTTTATTCCATATATAGCCAATTAAAGAAAGGAAAGAAGGGACAGAGGAAATGTGTGAGATGATGTGGGTCCAGAGAAAGGGAGGAGGTTGGGGGAATGTGAGTGGTGAGAACAGGAAAGTAACGAGTGTAGGTGGAGGCAAGAGGGGTGCTCAGGAGCTCTGACTCTCATGGGCCACCTCTCATGGGTCACCTCTCACGGGCATCCATCCCTCCTTGGCAATGATGGGAGATGCTCAACTGGCATTCTCGGAATGAATCAGGACTCCAGAAACTCGGAAGTCCTCTCTCAACCAGGAAGGCTGCCTTTTTGTCTATGACCAACAAGACTGAAGCCCCCCCGGCCCTCCCCACTAAGATAAAAACAAAAAACAAAAACTTGGCTGGCCAATGGCAAGCTCCAGCAGGGAATACTTTATCTTTCTGAACAGACTATTTAAGATCCTCAAGGCTGTCCTTTGGACTAGTCTTTTTCATTAAATCTGAAATCTTGGTTCTGTTCTGATGCCCCCAAATCACATTTGAAAACGGAGTTTACTACACAGTTCATATTTTCAAATCCATGGGGAGAGGATGGGAGGGTCAGACCGGGTCTGGGGGACACCATGTGCTGCGAAGTCAATAAATCAGTTAAAGGTAGGTGCTTAGGGCCCTGCGGGAGGCACCCTTTGCCCTGGCACAGAGCAGGGGACCCTGGATGGCGCTGGGGCCTCTGAGGTGGGGTCTGTGACTCAGGCACGTTTCTGGACCACCAGGAGGGGGCCCATGGGAAGGCTGGCCCAAACGACCCTAAACACAATACTGTCCCCATATAGCTGAGTGTATTACAGGACTCTGTGGCAGTTGGGAACTCCCAGCAACACGTGGTGGACACAGGCAGCAGGGTCAGAGCTCACCCGGGGCTGGCTCCTCATGGACCAATCCTGGTTTCCTGAAAGAAAAACTCCTAGAAAATGTTTTCGGAAACCACATGGGCCCGAGGCCTCTCAGAGCCTCCCCAAGGGCAGCCAGGAGCGGCAACAACACGGAATTCAGTCAGAAAGCTTGTTTCTCGTCTTTATTAAAGCTCGGTCCTCCTGCCCGTGGCCTGGAGCAGGGCAGAAGCAGCTGGGGCCAGGAGGAACAGCACGGAGCCAGACCCCAGCCACGTGGGGCCAGCCCAAGGTGCCGTGGCCCTTTCTGAGGCCCCTTTCCCACAGGGAGGAGAGGCCAGGGGCCAGCACCCTGCCCTCCTTACCACCACCCCCCACCCAGCCCGGCTAATTCATACCACCGCCACCCAGGCCTCTCCCCACCCACTGACTACTGGGCCTCCTACTCCCAGCCCCGCAGCTCGGCTGCTGGCTCCCAGGCCACGTCTACACTAAAACAGAAGGAACTAGGTCTAAAAAGGAATGCAGTTGCGACAAAATCTGTTTTCTGGTCCCACTCGCACAGGCCAGAGGCGCTAAGGATGGGAGGGGTCTCACACGAGCTGTGCCTCAGCCAGCTGCCCAGTGGTCCTACTGCCCGCTGGAGGACGGGGTGCGGCCACGTGTGGGCCTTGCATAGTTGGCGGCTGGGTTTGCTGTTGAGCCAAGGGTTTGTGCCCACGCCCCCAGAGGTGGCCACCACTGTGCAGACTGCCCACTCTGCGAGGGGCATCTGAGCAGAAACCGTCTGCTTCCCCCGTGGAGTCAGGAGAAGCGGGGTTAGAGGGACCTGCAGGTGTCTTGGGCCCTGATAGTGGGTGTTGGAATGATCTTGGCACCGACCTCAGTCACGTGACACTGGTTATTACATCTAAGTGAGCCCCGGGCTGGGCCTCGTGTGCCACTGACCCCAGGAGAGATGGCAGTCGGAGGGGTGAAGGCTGGGGCCCAGGCCCCGGATCTCTGAGTGAGCCGCCTCAGGGCCGGAGGTGAGCACCAAGAACTCAGAGGAAGGCGGAGAGTGAAGCGACCGGCGGGACTAGCACCTGGCCCACCTTGGTGCTCCAGTGGGGCACGGAGGGCGGGTGACCCCGAGAATAAGGCTTTAAACTCTCCGGGCCTGCGGACACCTGGGGCCCGCCCACCCCGGGGCCACAGATTAGGGTTCTGGCTTCCCTCCTCCCCGATTCTTTGGGCCGTGGAGATGGAAATAAATCAACTTTCTCAGCTGCAGCTCCACCCTAGGGCGGGGGGTGGGAGGGCAGTGGTGTAGGAACGTGGTCCTTCGGCACCGGAACCGCACGGCTTCCCCGAGGGCAGCCTTAACTCCTGTTGGTACTTGAGTGACTAGAAGGTCCCTAAGCCTCTCGCTGAGGGCGGAGGACGGCAGCAAACCCATGAGCAGCCCTGCTTGGCCTTCCCGCCGCCCGCCCCCCGACAAAGGGCTTCCCCTCTCGCTGTAAGGCCCGGTTACAGACGCCTCGGCTACCTGTTCTGAGGCCCCAAGTCAGACCCCGAGTGAAATAAATACATGGCCTGGCACCCTACCCCCGGCTTCACGGCACCGACTGGGGGTGGTGCCATCTTGGTCCGGGTGGCCGCCCGCCCTCGCCTCCTCCGTGTGCGCTCCCACAAGCCGGGCTGTCGGGCAGGAGGGCGGGCCGAGGCCAGGCCGGGGCTGAGGGTAGGCACCGCACCAGGACTGGGCCCTCAGCCCGGAGGCCAGAGGAGGGGCTGGCGCAGCAGCCGGCACCCTGGCCGCCGGGAGGGCTGGTGGCCTCGCCGGCTGCGCCACCTTCGGCCTCGGCCTCAGAGGACGCCCTCCCGGTAGGCGCCCGAGGGCGCCACGAACGGCGCAGGCTCGGAGCTGAAGCTGGTCCCGCCCGCGAACTCCAGCAGGGTGCTGCCCCGCTCGCCGGGGGGGGCCGCGCCGGCGCCCTGCGGTCCCTTGGCGGGCGCCTGGGCCGGGGGCGCCGGGGCGGCGGGGCCGGGCGCGCCCGCGTTGCGGTGCGTCTTCATGTGCGTGAGCAGGTGCGAGCTCTGCGAGAAGCGGCGGCCGCAGCTGGCGCAGGCGTAGGGCCGCTCGCCCGTGTGCGTGCGCTGGTGCGTGACCAGCACGGAGCGCTGCGAGAAGCGCTTGCCGCACTCGGGGCACGGGAAGGGCCGCTCGCCCGTGTGGCCGCGCCGGTGCTTGGCCAGGTTGGAGCGCTGCGCGAAGCCGCGGCCGCAGTCGGCGCAGCGGAAGGGCTTCTCGCCCGTGTGCGTGCGCCGGTGCCGCTTGAAGTCCGAGCTGTGGCCGAAGCCCTTGCCGCAGTCCGGGCAGCGGTGCGGCTTCTCCTCCGCGTGCGCCCACTGGTGCCGCGTCAGCGCCGCGCTCTGCCCGAAGCGGCGGCCGCACTCCCCGCACGCGTAGGGCCGCTCGCCCGTGTGCGCGCGCCCGTGGGCGGTCAGGTGGGCCCGCCGGCTGAAGCCCGCGCCGCACACGCCGCACACGAAGGGCTTCTCGCCGGTGTGGCCGCGCACGTGCGCCGCCAGGTGCGAGCCGCGGGCGAAGCGGGCGCCGCACTCGGGGCACGGGAAGGGCCGCTCGCCCGTGTGCGTGCGCCGGTGGCGCGCCAGGTGCGAGCCGTACACGAAGCTCTTGCCGCAGTCGGCGCAGCGGTGCGGCCGCTCGCCCGCGTGGTAGCGCTGGTGCTTGGCCAGGGCGGCGCGGCGCCCGAACGTCTTGCCGCAGTCCGAGCAGATCCACGGGCTCTCCTCCTCGGGCAGCGCCGCGGGCGCCGGCTCGGCCAGCAGCCCCCCGGCGCCCGGCCCGAACGCCCGCAGCCCCGCGCCGCCGCCCCCCGGCCCGCTGCCCGCGCGGAAAGGGTCGCTGGCCAGCCCGGCGCCCTCCACCAGGGAGAGCCGGGCCCCTAGGGGTCCGGGCAGGGGGCGCCCCTCGGCCGGCAGCCGCTCCCTGAAGTCCGGGAGGCCCAGGACCGGAAAGCCGTCCGGGTGGAGCCAGGACTTGGGATGAACGGGGAAGTGGAAGCCGAGCGGGTGCGAGGAGGAGCCCGCGCCCGCGCCCAGGCCGTTGCCCACCTCCAGGAAGCGCCGGCCCGGCTTGGGGTCCTCCTGGCCCTGGGGGGCGGGCGCCTCCGCCTCCTCTCTCGCCTCTGCCTTGGCCTCTGCGTCCGCCTCACCGGCACCAGGTCCCTCGGGCCCCGCCTCGGCCTCCTCGGCCAACACCGCGTCGCCGGGCTCCCGCCGGGGGCCGTCGCCGCTGGGCTCGGAGCAGCCGCCGCCGCGCCGGTGGCGCTGGAAGTCCGCGCGGAGGCGGAAGGCCTGGCCGCAGTCGGGGCAGCAGTGCGGCCGGTCGGCCGTGTGCACCGCCTGGTGCCGCGCGAGCGCCGAGCTCTGGCTGAAGCTGCGGCCGCAGTGCGGGCACGGGTAGGGCCGCTCGCCCGTGTGCGTGCGCTGGTGCGTGACCAGGTAGGAGCGGCGCCCGAAGCCCGCGCCGCAGAAGGCGCAGCGGTAGGGCCGCTCGCCCGTGTGGATGCGCCGGTGCGTGACCAGGTGCGACTTGTAGACGAAGCGCTTGCCGCAGTCCGGGCACGGGAAGGGCTTCTCGCCCGTGTGCGTGCGCTGGTGGATGGCCAGGTGCGAGCGGTACACGAAGCCCTTGCCGCACTCGTCGCAGCCGAAGGGCTTGACGGCCGCGTGGTAGCGCTGGTGCTTGGCCAGGCGGGACCGGTGCGGGAACACTTTGCCGCACACGTCGCACGTGGTCTCGGGCCGCCCCGCCTGGTCAGCCACTTCGCCTGGGAACGCCCAAGGCGCCAGCAGGTTCACGCCCGGCTCCTGGCCAGACAGGAAGGGCTTCACCTCCGACCCCTCGGCCAGGGCCCCGAGACCCCCGGGGTCGAGTCCCCAGCCCTCCGAGGTCTGTCCCGAATCCGAGTCGTCAGGGCCCCACGTCCCGGGCACGTCCCCCACACCATAGGCCGCCGACCACAGCCCGGGGGGCTCGCTCTCCTCCTCGGCTACCTCTGCCAGGAAGTCCTCCTCGTCCTCCTCCTCGTGGTCCTCCATGTCGTCGGTCCAGAACCAGGCACCTGCGGGGAACAGGGGAGGCAGGCGAGCTGGGAGGAGCCGGGCCAGGGGCCCTGCGGGCTTTGCTCATCGCTCCTTGCCCTCTGGGTTCCTCTCCACCAGCCTGAGGTTGGCTAGCAACCAGGGGCCCTCCTTGCCCCCCAGCAGAACCAGGAAAGCCTGGCCCGGGCCAGGGGATCTGGGGCTCTCTGCAGGCACCCCAGGAGGCTCTACCAACGGTGCGGGCACAGCCCCAGCTTCCCTGTGTAGCCGTCCCCAGCTTGGCTTTTTCTAAGTGGCTGTGCCTTTGGGAAATGGTCCTTCGTCGGTGGAGACTGAGCTGCAAGCCACTTCCCGTCAGGAAGGGCAAGGAGTCCCAAGTTCCTGCTGTCCTGTCCCCCTCGGTGCAGAGTATACACTGGGGCCAGGTGCGTAGGGCTTCCTGGTGTACAGTGGGAGTGCCGGTAGCCTGCACACTGGAGGGAACTGTATTTATGGAGCAAGCACCCTCACACCGGGAACAGAGGAAGCCCCGCCCATGCTTTCTCTGTTCACTTCATGCTGTGTCCACCAGGCGTGCACCCTGCTGTAGCCGCCTGCGTGGGAGAGTCTGGCCAGAACCCAAACCTTAGATGTGCCCCAACTTGTCAAGAGGAATAAATTTATGTTCTGCAAGGTTACATCTAGAAACACAGAAACCGCTGGAGTAGACCAGTCAGCATCTGTCCTGCCCAGACCCGGCAGTCCTCAACCGGGTCGGCTGCACAGAAATAGGGGGCTGGGGGGAGGGGCAGCTTAGCAGACAGGCTGCAGTTAACGCATCCTGCAGAGAGACCCCAGCATTTAACACTGCGCTTGGATCCTACACCTCAGACTCCGCGGATGGCTGGGGCTGGGGCTGGGGCTGGGGGTGAGGGGTGGGGGAGCATCCCAGGCTCCAAGCTAGGTTCACCGGCACATGGTGCTCCACTCCAGGACGCTCCTGGAACCACGGAAAATGGGGTCCAAATAGATCCTGTGATGAGAGACTGGCCAATGCCAGCCCGTGACCCCTTCACCTCGAGGCGGCTTTTCTGAGATTGCCTGTACACGGGACACACGTCCCTCTAAGACCAGTGGTTCTCAACCTTCCTAAAGCCGCGACCCTTTAATACAGTTCCTCATGTTGTGGTGACCCCCAACCATAAAATTATTTTTGTTGCTACTTCATAACTGTAATGTTGCTACTGTTATGAATCGTCATGTAAATATCTGATATGCAGGATGTATTTAGGCGACCCCTGTGAAAGGGTCGTTCGACCCCCAAAGGGGTCGCGACCTACAGGTTGAGGAACGCTGCTCTAAGACCCTCTGGGACAATCACCGCTATCCCAGTCTCATTCTGGAGGCGGCAGCGATGTGTCTGGCTGGCCAGACCTCCTGATTCTGAAGTCGGGACAGATCCCCGGAGGGTCCCAGGAATGGGCTCCTGGGCAGACGGCCCACCTGCCACCCAGTGGAACGCAAGGCCCAAGGCTGAGCCCACCGCGGTCAGTGTCCTCAGTGCTGCTGTTCCACACGCCGTCTGAACATGGAGAAAACACTCTGGAGAACACGCTGTCTGTGCTGTTCTGTAGTTTTTTATTTTAAAACACGTCTGTGAGTCTATCCAGGCACGTGACTGGCATGAGACATCAGTGACCCTCACTAGACTGGGGTCACTCCAGCCCAAAGCCCAGTGCGCTCCTGTGCGAGGCCTTCCCGAACCTTCCGAAACACTGAGACGCACAGGCCTCCGGGAGACACCGCACAGAACCCACCGTCCGCCGTCCTCAGAGGAAACTACAGATTTAGTTCACATGCTTTATTCTCCAGACGAGTGAGGTGAGGCCCAGACAGATGGGGGGACAGAGCCAGAGCCAGGTTCCAGGCCCCCAGAGACCTCTGCCCCCTGAGCTTCCCGTAAGAACCTCTCCAAGTCTCCCCGGAGGCCCAGGGCTGCCCGCCCGGCCGGAGGCCTGCCCCTGGGCTTCCCGGGGAGAGGGGGGAGCTCAGAGGAACCCACTGTTCAGAGATGCCGAACGGATGGAGAAGCCCGAGGACCGGCTCGGGCAGTGCCAGGACCCACAGTCCACTCTGCACCTGTAGCCCCTCTGAGCCCATCACTTAACAACCGGCCCTCATTTGCAAACAAAACAAGACAAGAAATACCCAGAGACTCCAAGGCCAGGACAGGGTCACTTGTAAAGCCGCCTAAAAGGAAACTAGGTTCTCTAGGGACCTCCCAGCCCTCGCCTCTCCGCAGACTGAGGCTGAGAGAAGCCAGCCCACGAGGCAGGTCAGCCCGTGTGGCCGCCCCGTCTCTGCAAAGCCCACCCACAGCTCAGACCACCAGCAGCAGGCCAAGGTGAAGGCCAAAGTCGGGCAAAGCTCCGAGAAGCGGTGTTGGCAGAAACCCCACAAGACTCTGTCTCACACTCACCTGTATAGACGCCAGTGACAATGTCTCCCTCCTCAGGACGGGGGCTGTCTGGGACCCAAGGTTCCTCTCCTTGTTCCAGCCGGAAGATCAGATCCGGCTTGGGGATGGGGTACCCTGGCATGGAGAAAAGCAGACAGGCTGTGCTGTGCCCGAGGCCGCCCTCACACCACACAACACTGTCCCCTCCAGTCCTCAGTTCCTCTCTCCTCCATCCTCCGAGGACCACCGCCCCCCGCCCTGCCCCTCTGGAAAATCCCACACTCCGCTCTTTCAAGCTTTGCCCGATACCCTGGCTCTCCTGCCAAGCCCCTCCACACACCTGCGGAGTGCCCACCCCTCTCCTCCGTCACCCCTTGAGACCTGGCATCTCCAGAACATGTCCACCTGGCTCATGGCACTACTGGGCAATACTGGGACCCCCATAACCCCACCCACCCATCCAGAAGCAGGGTTGTCCATGGGGACCCCCTGGGCGGTGGGCTGGCACCAGCACCCCCTTCTCCAAGACCTCGCGGCTCCAGACAGCTAAGCCCCTGGCAGCCCTCGCACTGGGCTGCCTCCTGGGGACAGAAGGCCCTGCTTACCCAGGGACACCAGGATGCCGTAGTTCTCCTGCATGACTTCCTTGTAGAGGTCCCGCTGCGCAGCAGCCAGCCTTTCCCACTCCTCCAGGGAGAAGTACACAGCCACGTCCTCAAAGGTCACCAGCCCCTGGGGAACAAAGCGCCCGGTCACTGCTCCACGTGGCCCCGGTGAAGGGCAGGCCCCCAGGGGAGAGTGAAGATGACCGCAGCAGGATGCCCGTGGCCCTGAGACAGAGAACCCAGCGGACAGAGCCCAAGCCCGTCACCGGCAGGCCTACGGAGCCCAACAGCACGGGGCTTCCTGGCCCGGCCATGGCCCTTCGAGGCAGGGACCCCATTCCCATCCAGAGAGGAGGGCCCGGGCTCACAGGGTGAACCCCCAGCGCGCATGGGGCAGGGCCAGGATTCACACGGAGGCCAGGGGACGCCGAAGCCCAGGCCTCACGACTGTGCTGTGTGGCCGCCTCGTCCCCTCCTACTTCACTGTTTGCCTCAAGCCAGTGGTCACGTCAGCAACGCAAGGGCCCGCACCTGGGTGGACAGGTGGCCCCAGCTGAACCGACTGTGAGCACAGGAGCCTGATCTGACCGGCTCCGCAGGAAATCAGAGCCCGGACAAGTGACGGGCACTCCGGGGAAGGGGCACAGCCTGACCCGGGAGAGCCAGGCCTCTGAGGAGCTGCACAGCGTAGGTGAGTGGGCGGCGGTCAGTGCGACCAGGATATTCCAAAGGCCTGGGAAGGGCCGGCCCAGGGGAGTGGAACCGCATCCCGCGGGGCTCAGGATGCCTGGCACTTCCTGCAGCCATGTCCCAGCTCGGCCTGGGCTTGGCCGAGGGCCACAGTGCCCCTGCCACAGGGGCTCCAGGCAGCAGGTGCCAAGCCCCCAAGGAAACCCTGCCTGGTTACTGAGCTCTGAAGGAGAGGGCAGCTCACCTGTGACCCGGCTGTCAGGAAATCCCCCTCCTCGTTCTCCTCCTCCTCCTCCTCTTCCTCCAGATCCTCCTCCCTAAGCACAGCTGGAACCCGGGAGGCCTGCAGAGCTGGGGGGAGAAGTCTCCTAGGGGCCGCTGCCTTTAGCAGGGGCCTCGCCACCCTGGCCACCTCTGCCCATCCAGCAAGAGGGGCAGGAGCTCCTAGCTGCACCCCATTTCAAAGCCTGGGCCCTGGCATCCCAGCAGCAGCTGCAGCTCCAGCTCCAGCCTAAAAGGCCACAGAGCTCTGCTGGCCGGCCGGCCCCCCCACCTCCCCCGCCTTCCCTCTTTCCCTCCCAAGGGCCAGCTCCCTTCTCTCACCCTTTTTCTGCAGAACTGGGGACTTGGCACCACCACGGCTCAGGCGCGCCTGGGTCCCCAACACTGGACTCCGCTCCTCTGCTACCACCTCCACGTCCTGGTCCTCCTGCAACTCCACCGCCACCTGCTCCACCGGCCATCCTCGCCCGGTGGCCTCCGACTCCTCCACCACCTCCACCATGCCCTCGTCTTCCTCTTCTTCCACCTCGATCTCCTCCTCCTCCAGCTCCTCCGCCTCTTCCCCCTTCTCCTCTTCCTCCTCTTCCTCCTGCTCAGGATTGCATTCCGACCCGTCCTCCGCCCGCTCTGGCTGGGCAGCCGGAGAGCCCGGCGCCGTGTGCAGGGCTGCCATCTTCTCAGGAGGACGCCTCAGCGCGGCCTGAAACACAGACGGGCGGTGAGGAGCCGCCCCCGCGCCGGGGGAGGGAGGCAGGCGCTGTTCCCCCACCGCACAGTAATGGCCAGAGACAGGCGGACTCCACGCAGCTCCTCCCAGGGCCCAGGCCCAGGCCTGCCGGGCTCACTAGCACCCAGGCGCCACCTGTCCCGGCCCTCACGCTCTTCCCGCGGCCTCCAACCCCATTCTGGCCTCAGGATCACTGAGCCCAAGGTCACAGGTGAAGAACTACACCCAGGAGGCCCCCAGCCTCCGGCCTCTCCCAGAGCCACCTCCGCTCCACAGCCCTCTGGGGTGAAGGGGCCTGAAGGTAGAAGCGTGAGCTGGTGGCCCTGCCCAGCGCCCGGGGCAGTGAGAATGCCAGCGGGTTTCCCAACTGCCACCCATCTCCGGCTCAGAGGAGGGCTCTTCTCACCCAGACCTCAGGCTGCACATTCAGGCTGAGCCCGGACACCATGCCAAGATGCCAAGCCCGACAGAGCTGCCTCCTGCCCGGTCCCGCCCGGAGCTGCCTCCCACAGCCACAGCCGGGCCAGTGTCCAGGGCCTCGCACTCAGAGAGCTCCAGGCCCTGGGACACACCGACCCCACGCTCGCCTGCCTCAGCACCTGGGCGCACGCCAGCCCCTCTCCCTGGAGCCCCTCCCCCCCTTCCTGGCTCAGGCGCCCGAGGCAGCCCCCGGGCCGTCCCACACGGTGCCCTGGCCTTTCCCGCGGCACCCATGTTTTTACACTCTGCTCACTGCCCGTCTCCCGGGACAGCCACCCCTAAGAGGGCAGATGTTCCCTCTGCTCGCCACTGAACGCCCCACGCCAGACACAGAGAGAGAGGCTCAAACGTTTACCGAAGATATGACTCTGAGGTCTAGTCAACGTGGTGAACGTGAAACTTTAAAAACTCGGTGTTTTGGCCGCACTGTCCCCTTCTAGACCTGACGGGCCGCTGGTGAGGGTCCCACCCAGAGGTTCGGCCCGAAGCCCCTTCTCCCGAGAAGCGACCAGAGAAGGGGAAGGCCTAGCAGCACGGAGGTCGGAGGTCACCCTGCAGGTGGGACCAGGGCCCAGCACAGCCCGACACCCATATGCCCCGACCCAGCACCCAGAACAGAACGGTTCTGGAAAATGGACCTCGGTACCTGGAGCACTGCGTTCACTCGGCGCCCCCAAGGCCGGGCGTGTGCTGGGCACGCTCCGCAAACCTGCCCTCTCGCCTTCCTCTCTGCCAGCGGCCAGCCACCGACTCCCGCTGCTCACTCCCCACATCCAGCGCCAGGGCCGCAGCCACAGAGGGTCCGGGAAGCAGCAGCATCAACACAAACCCATCACCCCGGGCCTGACTCCGCGGGAGCCCTGCACCCCAGGATACGGTGCTGCAAACTATTAGAACTGGGGTGACAAAATGCCCTCCATGGGGAGCAGGGAGGACCCCCCAGGACAGAGAGAAGTGGCCGAGATCGAAACCGTGAGAAATGCTGCACAGAAGAGGAAAGAGACCCACAGGAGGGGAGCGTGGGTGCCCGGATCCCGGCCTCTGGGCGCCTTCCAGGTTCTCTCTCCTCCAGGGAAGCCTTCCTTCCCCACGACCAGGTGCTCACTGCCTGGCCACGGGTGTGGGTGCCCTGCTCTCCTGGGTTCGGGGGTGCAGGTGTATCCACGGACCCTCCGGCTCCCTCACCACGCAGGCCACTCCCCCGACCTGCCCGCACTTGTTGAAACAAACAACTGCCAAGGCCTCCTGCACACCTCCCCGCCCGCCCATCGGGTCCCCCAGGCCAGCCCCTCTCCCGCCTCTGCGGCCACAGCGGGCAGCGCAGACCCCATCCCACCCGGCGCTGGCTGCCCGCGGGCCTCCATTTGCAGACCAGGCTCTAAGCGGCTCCGGGTCAGGCCAAGCCCCTCCAGCCTCCCGGGGCTCAGGGGACTGGTCCTCCCACCGGCCATGGCGGTGACAGCGCCTCCCAGATGGGTGTGTCCCGGGGTGGCCACAGCCCCACCCCCGCCCCGCGCGGCGGCGATCACCCCCGGGAGTCGTGCGTGTCCCCCCAGCCCGCCCCCTCCGCGCTGCCTCCCCACAGGCCCTGGGGTCGGAGCCGCCCCAGCGCGCAGGCCCGAGCGGGGGGCGCAGGTCCCAGCGGCGTGGGCGCGCCCTCCCACCCGCCAGGCGCAGGCCCAGGTCCGGGGGCCCGGCGCCACGGCCTCCCGCCGCCGCCCGGACCGGCGTGGAGGGGCGGCCCGGCCCCGCTCGGCCCCCGCTCGGCCCCCGCCCGGCCCCCCGCACCTGCCCCGCCGCCCCGCCGCCCACTCACCGTGCGCGCCGGGCGCCGAGCCGCCGCCGGACGCCGGGCCTGCGCGCCCCGCGCTACACAAAGTGACGGCCCGGGAGCTGCGCGGCGGCGGCGCGTGGGCACCGGAAGTGCCGCCGTCGGCCCCGCCCCGCCCGCGCCCACGGGGGGGAACTTCCGGTCACGCGGGGTCGAGCGCGGCTCCCGGAGGGGGCGTGAGTGGAGCGAGAGGAAGCGCCGCGGCCACGGCGCTCAGCCCGGACCCGTGGGGAGCTCGCGAGCACCGCGACCGCGCACCGCCCCCCGCGGTCCCGCGCGGACCCTGCAAACTCTGCACCGCCCTCGAGACCCCCGCCCCCGCAGACCCCGGAGGGAGCCCCCGCCTGTCCTGTGACCCCGCACCCGAGGCCACGACCCACCCTGCCGGAGCCTGCAGCTCAGAGCGCACCCCTCCCCGAGCTCACTCCACCAGGACCGGGAGCCCGCTGGATGCCCGGCCCCCAGGCCACGCAGGCGGGGCACCCCCCTAGGACCGGGCTGTGGAGGCGTCCCCGCCCCCCGCGGGCCCTCAGGCCTGGCCGTGGCCGTGGGCGGGGCGTCCCCTGCAGGTGGTGGCCGATGGCGACTACAGCTCGCAGCCCGGCCCCCGGGGCTCAGGACGGGACCATGGGGTGGGGGGGGGGGGGGCTGAATGGAGGAGGAAGGTTACTCAGGGGCCGGGCAGCTGGACAAATGCAAGAAGGGCCTCGGGCAGAGAGGGGCCCTTGGTCAGCACCACGGGGAGGGCCCGCCTGGGGGGGGCGGGGCGCTGGGATGCGGGGCGGGAGGGGGACTCCGGCTGTCCGTCCACCGCAGCCTCTCCAAACCTGTCCCATCCCCCGGAGGCAGCTGAGGGCTGCGGGGGGTGGGGGGGTGCGCTCTGGCACCCACAGAGGGGGCCTCCCGCCCGGCCACAGCGCCAGCGGGAGTGGCGTGGGCCCCCTTCCCAGCGCGTCCTTCTGTCTTCTGTAGTGGCCCCAGCGTGGGACTCTGTGCGGGGCAGGCTCCCTCCAGAGCCTCAGCTCCGGCTGTGAGCTCAAGCCCACACAGGGCTGGACTGCTCCGAGGGGTGCAGCCGCCCGCAAAGCCTCGACTTCGCCAACCCAGAGCACCAGCCTGCCCTCCGACCCCATCTCTCTCCTCACGATTGGCTCCGGGGGCTTTAAACGTCTTAAAATGAATAACTAACACTTAAAAGTGGGGGGTCTCGTATGAAATGATTGAAAAATCCCAAGTTTTGCCAACACAGAGCCCCCGGGGCAGGGCATGGTCAGAGGCCTATGGAGTGACAGCCTACCCTCCCGCCTCCCACCGGGCCCACTTCCGGGTGGCACCCTGCCTGGCCCTGTGGGTCTCTAGCCCGCAGGGAGCATCCCATCCAGGTCTGGGGGAGGCGAGCCTGAAAGGGACAGGGTCAAGTGGGGTCGCGAGTGGGGAATTTCACTTTTTTGAGGCTAAAATAACCACAGACATGAAAGCTCCCGTCCAGTGGCTCGGCCTCATTTCCACCGAGCAGAGGGCGGCCATGCCCACTGTGCTCCCTGGCACACCTGGCTCCTGACGTCACCAGTGGGATGGGGAGGGACACGCCTAACTGCCCTGGGACACGCTGGCCGAGGTGGACTGGGAGTCCTCCGCGTGGCTGCCTCGCTCAGTGTCCTGGCTGGCCAAGCTGTGGGGACTCTGCCTGCCACAGGCAGGAGGAAGGAGAGGCCCCTGGGGGCCGTGGGGAGGGGCCCCTCAGGGAGAGGAAATGAGGGGGAGTGGGGGGACCAGGGCAGCAGCCTCGGTGTCAGACTCTGAAGAGAGGCCGCCAGCTGAGGGACCTCCCAGAGGTGGCCCGTGGAGTAGGGAGAGGCGGCAGACTTCACCCCCTTGAACCCTGGTCTTGGGTTGGGTATCAGGGGGGACGACCAAGAGGAAGTCCGAGGAGATGCGGGGTGACCCAGGTCCCTGCCTGACAGGGTGGAGGGCTCTGAGGCAGGAGTAGAGATGTTAGCTCTTTGTTTCATCTCCCCCCTCCGCGCCCCCGCCCCGTTGGGTCTTTGCCTGGCTCTGGGCCCTGCGGCGTTCTCCCTCCACATTGCCAGTGGATTCAGCTAAGGGCCCCGCTGGTGGGATGCAATGGGAGGACAGGGCTGGGGTGTCCCTGCCCGTCACAGCCCACCAGCGGCCCATCTCCACGCCTGCAGCTCTCGGGCTGACATCCTCTCTGCCCCAGAACCTTCTGGTCCAGGTGCATCTCGGGGCTCTGCTCCTGGGCCCCGGGGCCCACACTGCTCCCGTTAGCTCTCCTACATTCAGGTCCTCTCCCCGCACCACCCGGGGATGGAGGCTGGCAGCTGGGCCCCGTGGCCCACTAGGCCCTGAGAAACCGTGCCGAGGCTGGGAGGACCTGCTGGGGGCAGAGGGCTGTGGATTGAGGCAGGAAGGAGGATGGGGGGGATGTCCCAGGGCAGTGGGGGGAGGGAGGTTAGCACAGTGGGGACCGGCAATTGCAAAATGGAGAAGGCCTGCAGGGCTCACCGCATTCCCAGGACAGCCCGTGGGACCAAACACAGGAGTCCAGGCTCAGCCAAGGCGCCAAGCCCACCCACAGGACACACAGGCCACTGAGGGCTCTCAGAACACAATGACAGTCGTGTGGGCAGTGACTAGAGCCCCTGGATACAAGTAGAAACGAAAGCAAAGGGGTTTCTGTGTTGGGAATAATTGGGAATCGAGAAGGGTCTGATGCGTTTTTATTGATTTCAGAGAGGAAGGGAGAGGGAAAGAGAAAGAAATATCAGTGATAAGAGAGAATCATGGATCGGCTGCCCCTGCACTCCCCGAACTAGAAATGGAGACCGCAACCTGGGCATGTGTCCTGACCGGGAATTGAACTGTGACCTCTTGGTTCATAGGTCGATGCTCCACCACTGAGCCACACCGGCTGGGCTGGTGCCACTCTTTGGCACAATGGGCTGGGGGCGAGATATGCCTGTCCTGCCAATTGCCTGCCTCTTCGAGGGGCAGCTGATGAGCCGAAGACAGGAGCATAGAGGAGGGGCCCAGCCCACTGAGGCCTCTGCCAACACGAGGTGCCGTCTGCCCGCCACCCAGCTGCTCACAAAAGGGGAGCAGACTGGCAGTGTAGCCCCGGGGCAAGGCCTGCCCAGGGCCTGTGTACCCCAAAAGGGAAAGAAGCGGCAAGAACAAGAACAGACCCACACTGGACGCTGCCACTTGGCCCCACCAGCATCTGACCTGTTAGCAGCTCTCTTCCCTGGTAGGGGGCTGGCAGTGGACTGGGCCCAGGCAGGGCGGGCAGCAGCATCCAGGCCACAGAGTCAGCCTCAGCTCCAGCTCCTCCTGTAAGGCTGCAAGGCAACACCTGGGCTGGGCTGGGGCGGGGGGAGCAGTGAGGCACACACTGAGAGCCATGGGCCAGGGGCTGAGGGAAGCAGAGGTGAGGTGACATTTCAGCCCGGCCTGAGAGAGCTGGAGCCTGGCATGCAGTGGGGCGGGGAGGCCTGGCCTGGGCAGCAGCCTAGAGGAGGGGTGTTTGGGGCAAGTCTGAGGGGCCAGGCCTTCCCATGGCCAGAACCTCACACCTCGGCAGGGACCCATTGTCAACAATCAGCCACCAAAGGCATCAGGCAGGGCGTTGGGTCGTGATTTCCCAAGATGGCCAGGGTCCAGGTAGATGGCAGGGAGCTGTCCAAGGGCTGCGAGGTGACTCAGCTGGAAAGTGACATGGTTTCAAGATGACCAAGTGTCACTGTTCAGGCTGCGGTAACACATATAGCTTAGACTGGGTGGCTGGAACAACAAACTTTTCTCTCTCGTGGCTCTGGAGTCTGGGGAGCCCCAGGCCAAGGTGCAGGCAGGTTGGGTGCCTGGTGAGGACCACGTCCTGGTTCCTTTGTGGTGGGAAGGACAGGTGCTTTCATGAGGGCACTAATCCCGTTCAGGAGGGCCCCACCCTCGTGGCTTAATCACCTTCCACAGGCCCCGCCTCCTAATGCCGTCACCTTGAGGGTCAGGATTTCAACATACAAATGTGAGGTAGACAGAGACAGTCTGTAACACAAGGTGACAGAGTGAAGCTGGGGACATGGGAACTGTTTGGGGGAACCTGACCAACCCTGGTTCTGTGAACCTTGACCCAGTGTGAAGGGCACTGTCCAGCACCCTTCCAGAGAGAACACCTCTTGCCCACCCCCTCGCAGGGCCCAGACCTACCCAGGCCTGGAGTGTGTCCTAGCTTCCTGCCGGCATGCAGGGCAGGCTGGGAGAGAGGCCACCTGGGGCAGGGAGAGGGCCAGGCTGGGGTTGCCAGAGGGCAGAAAGGAGGTGCAGGTGGAGATGACAGGAGTGTCCAGCAAACAGAGACAGAGGGCCAAGTCCAGGCCCCTGCAATGGAGCAGAGAACCAAGCAGGAGCAGGGTCTGGACGGCAGACAGAGGAGAGATGGTGTGTGCGCCTGTGTGTGTGGGGGGGGGTGGTGGTGGTGGTGGTGGGGTGTGTGTGTGTGTGTGTGTGTGTGTGTGTGTGTGTGGTGTCTGTGAGAGACAGATTCTCAACTTGACCAAACTTTCAGTGTGAGCCTCATTGCAATGAGGCCCCCACTTTTGGGCGTCCGTGTCTATCTTCTCATCACCCAGTTTTAGCAAAAATCCTGTCAAGTCAGTCCGGCCAGAATCCCGCCCGGATATCTGATTGCCTTTCATACTTGACCACGGGGCTCACCCTGGAGTTCCCCAGTTGGGTGACTGCTCCCCTGGCCTGCCTCCAGCAAGAATCCCGCCAGGTCTGTTCCACCAGAACCCCCCCACCGCTGTGCTTCTCCCCCCTTAGGAATTCTCCACCCCCCAGCTCCCCCCACACCCTGCTCCTCGGCGTAAACCCCCACCTGGCCTTGCCGGATTCAGAACCTGGTCCGCTTCTCTCCTGAGGCCTCTTCCCCGATGGCACCGGGTGGGGGATACAGTGCTCTCACCACTTTCCTGCCTCACTGCACGAGTCTCCTCATGACAGTGCCCTGCCCGCTCCCACGCTGGGCACATGGGGCCTGGGTGGGGACACCAGTCACCACCCCTCTGTGCCAGGCTCCTTGCCAGCCCCCCACCCATTTGAGAGCCCAGGAGGAGCCCAGGAGGGCTTCCTATAGGAGGAGACATCTGAGAGCCACATGGGGTGAGCTCTGTCCAGCTCAGGCCAGCCCGCGAGGCAGTGCTCACCCCAGGTGGTCGGGACAGAGGGAGGCGCCTCCGAAGAATCCTGGACTTGAGTCCCACAGGCCCCGAGGCCTCGTGCCTGCCATGTCCGTGTCCCGGCTGGCGAGCCACAGGAAGGCTGACACGCAGACCGGGCTTCACGACAATGGCGGGGGACTGACAGCCTCCTCCCCCCATCCCCCCACACGCACCACGGCAGGCAGCGCTGAAACGAGGCACCTGACGCTGCCGGTGAGCTGTTGCATGAGCACATTTCCATATGCCTCCCCAGGCGGTTCACAGACACGTAACAGGGACAGGGAAACTATTAACTGGGAGGGACTGAGTCGAGGCTTGTCCTCAGGAGATGCCAAAATGGCCTCTTCAAGCGCCTCCCCTCGGTCCCCAGCTCTCCCCTCAGTTCCCAGCTCTGCCATGGTCCTCAGCTCTCCCGTGAGGGTTTCACTGAGTAAGCCCACCCCAGCCCAGGGCTCCAGCTGGAAGGAAGAGTCTGGGTGAGGAGCTCCTGACATCTAGGGCAACCAGGAAATGTTCTACAAAACTCAGAGGCAGCCGAAACCGGTTTGGCTCAGTGGATAGAGCGTCGGCCTGCGGACTGAAAGGTCCCAGGTTCGATTCCGGTCGGGGGCATGTACCTGGGTTGCGGGCACATCCCCAGTGGGAGATGTGCAGGAGGCAGCTGATCGATGTTTCTCTCTCATCGATGTTTCTGACTTTCTATCTCTCTCCCTTCCTCTCTGTAAAAAATCAATAAAATATATTTAAAAAAAAAACAAAACAAAACTCAGAGGCAAGCCCTAGCCAGTGTGGCTCAGTGGATAGAGCGTCAGCCTGCGGAACAAAAGGTCCAGGGTTTGATTCCAGTCAAGGGCACATACCTTGGTTGCAGGCTCTCATCCCTGGTCGGGGTGCATGCAGGAGGCAACCGATCAATATGTTTCTCTCACACCAATGTTTCTGTCTGTCTTTCCCTCTCCCTAAAAATCAATGGAAAAACATCCTCAGGTGAGGATTAAAAAAAAAATTTCAGAGGTAAATACACAGATAGGACAATGCGTTTCTCCACTTGTTTATTTTCTGTTTCTCACCTACCAACACGTTTGTGGAACGTAGCAGGTTGTGTTAGTAAAGGAGAAGCCGGGAGGAAAGAGGGCAGGACACACGCAGCCACAGGTAGGACAGGACGCCAGGAGCAGGCAGCGCTGGGGGCGGCAGTGGGGGGCAGCCTCCCCACCCGCCTGCCTTCCCATGGACATCAGCGACCCCCAGATGATTCTGTAAATGTAAAGGGCATTTTTGATGTCTCAGTCCTTGTCCCCAACATTCTCCCTGGACCCCCAATGATGAGGCAGGTCTGCTCAGTCCAGCCCCCTGCACAGCCTGGCCCAGGAGACCCCGTGCCCCAGGGCCCTAACCCCAACCTCAGCTGCTGGGCAAACGTCTGAGAAGCCTAGAGCTACAGGCCTGCAGGGAAAGGAGGGAATCCCAGAGCTCTTTCCAGGGGGATCACTCCCTTGGACCTTGGACAGCTCTCCCAGAATGCCCTCTGCTTCAGCCATAGGCTTCTATTCAAGAGGGCACTGCCCCTCCCGTGTGGCTCAGTGGTTGAGCATTGGCCATTAACCAGGTCACATCCATTCCCGGTCAGTGCGCATGCCCGGTTTGCAGGCTCCATCCCCAGTAGGGGGCGTGCAAGAGGCAGCCGCTGATCAATGATTCTCCTCATTGAAGTTCTATCCCTTTCTCCCCCTCCCTTCCTCTCTGAAATCAATAAAAACATTTTTTTTCTTTTAAAAAGAGGACACGGGGACACACAGCAGAGGCTACAGCTTCCCTCCCACGCTGGCGAGGAGCCGGCGGCCCTGGAGGAAAGGCTCCACCTCCCGCCCAGAGCAGGACTTCCTGGCATTTGCACATTGGCCCAGCGGGCACTCCGACCCTGTGTTCAAGAACACACACGCTGAAGTCGGGGTTCTAGCCACCCTGACGAATTTCACTGGAGAAAGTATTTTCAGGGCACACGCCACTGAGGACTTGTCGCGCCTTGATCCGCCTTCTGCTGGTGCAGACAAGTGGCCATTCTCCTCTATTTCCTTGAAGTAATTTTCACCGGGTCAAGTCCTTTTCCCGTGCATTTTACCGGGTATGTTTGATCCCCTGGTTAGTGTTCGATCCGTGCCAACGGACGGTCCCATGGGCCCCTGAAAGTTTTCTCGGGTGGCTCTCATCTCAGAATCCAATGTGCCCAGCTGGCACGTTGGCGGCCTCCGGTACCCAGTGCGATGTGTGCCTGTGTGTGAGCTGACGTGCAACATCTGTGCGGTGCCAGACACGCTGGCTTCTCTCGCGGAGCGTTTCTGAGGGTGAACGTGTCCCTCCCGCAGGTGATTCTGAGGAAAGACGGAAGCCTTTTCCACGCGCGATTCCAGGATATCCCAAAGTGCCCCAGAGCGAGCGGGCCATGACGTCCCAACCAGACGAGCCGGCTCCTCCCTTCACGGAGCCTTGCCCCCGGCCACCTGCCCGGTGCGCAGCCCGCCCGCGGCCGAGCGCGTGGTGCGGAGCAGCCCCAGGCCCCGCGCGCGGCCGGCCCCGTGCAGCTGGCGCTCGTGGCGGCGGATCTGCACCTTGTGGCGGAAGCGCTCGCCGCAGTCCTCGCACGCGTAGGGCCGCTCCCCCGAGTGCGTGCGCCGGTGGCGCAGGAGGTTGGACGAGACGCTGAAGCGCTTGCCGCAGTCGCCGCAGGCGTAGGGCCGCTCGCCCGTGTGCGTGCGCTGGTGCTGCACCAGGGCCGAGCTCTCGCTGAAGCGCTTGGCGCAGTAGGAGCAGGCGTAGGGCTTCTCGCCCGTGTGGATGCGCTGGTGCGTCACCAGGTTCGAGTGCTGCGAGAAGCCCTTGCCGCACTCCCCGCAGCGGTGCGGCCGCTCGCCCGTGTGCGTGGCCTGGTGCCGCACCAGGTCGGTGCTGCGGCTGAAGCCCTTGCCGCACTCGCCGCAGATGGTCGGCCGATCCCGGGCGCGCCGCCGGCGCCGCTGCCGGGCTGGTGTCAGGGCGGCGCTACCCGCGGGGCCTGAGATGGGCACCACGGCCAGTGGCGGTGGGGCCACGGCGGGCGGTGGCAGTGGCGGCGGTGGCGGTAGTGGCGGAGGCGGCGGCGGGGCCATGGCTGGCAGGGCAACGGTTGGAGGCGGCGGGGCTACAGCTGGTGGCGGCAGGGCTATAGCTGGTGGCGGTAGGGCCACGGCTGGAGGCAGGGGGGCCACGGCTGGTGGCGGTAGGGCCACGGCTGGAGGCAGGGGGGCCACAGCTGGTGGCGGTAGGGCTACAGCTGATGGCGGTAGGGCCACGGCTGGTGGTGGTAGGGCCACGGCTGGAGGCAGGGGGGCCACGGCTGGTGGCGGTAGGGCCACGGCTGGAGGCAGGGGGGCCACAGCTGGTGGCGGTAGGGCTACAGCTGATGGCGGTAGGGCCACGGCTGGTGGCGGTAGGGCCACGGCCGGCGGCAGTGGAGCCACAGCTGGCTGCAGCGGGGCGCCGGCTGGCAGCACCATGAGCTCCTGCAGCACCACATAGCCCGGGGGGCCCACCATGACAGGTCCCGAGGCGCCAGGTCTTGAAGCCGGGCCTGCCCCCGCAGTGGGCACCAGCTCCAGCTGCAGCTCAGGTTGCATGGGGGTCAGCTCCAGCTGCATCTCCTGCTGCTGTTCCAGCTGCTGTTGCTGCTGCAGGTGCTGCTCCAGCTGCTGCAGCTGCTCCTGCAGTTTGAGCTGCAGCTGCCGCTGTTCTTGTTGTCGCTCCAGCTCCTGCTGCCGCTGGACCTCCTGCTGCTGCTGCTCCAGTTCCTGCTCCGACTCCATGTCCACTGGCATGAGCTCCAGCTCCACCTCCTCCTCCTCCTCTGGCTCCAGTGGACGGCGCTGCAGCTGCTGCTGTTGCAACTGTTCTTGCTGCTGCAGCAACAGCTGCTGCTGTAACTGTTGTTGTTGCAACATCTGCTGTTGTAACTGTTGCTGTTGCAGCAGGTGCTGGTGTAACTGTTGCTGCTGCAACAGCTGCCGCTGTAACTGTTCCTGCTGCTGCTGCAGCAGCTGCTGTTGCTGTAACAACTGCTGCTGCTGTAACTGTTGCTGCTGCTGCTGCAACAGCTGCTGCTGGAGCTGTGCCTGTATCTGTGACTGGCCTTGCTTCTGCTGCTGCTGCTGGAGCTGTGCCTGCTGTCCTGACCGTTCCTGCTGTTGCTCCAACTGCTGCTGCTCTTGTCCTTGCTGCGCGTGTGACTCTTCCTGCGGTTGCACCAGCTGTAGTTGTGGCTTCGGGGGCTCAGGTGGCACAGGCCGGGGTTCTTCCTGGAGTCCTCGCTGCGGCGGCGGCGCTTGCTGCTCCTGCACCTGTTGCACCGGTGGCAGCCGTGACTTCGGTCGCAGATGTTGCCGGGGTTGGTGTTTTTCTTGTCGTTCCTGCAGCTGTTCTTGTCCATTCTGCTGCGGTGGCTGCAGTGCTGACCGGCGTCCCGGTGGCTGGTTCTGTGGCTGCGGCTGTCGTCGCTGTTCTTGCTGTGGCGGTTGTTGCAGCTCTGGCTGCGGTTCTAACCGCTGTGGTTGCAGCTCCTGCTGTGCCAGCTGGGCCTCCTTGGTGCTCTTGACCCACTTTGGGACTGAGATGACTGACTGTGGTGGGCTGGTCCTCTCTGGAGCCTCTTCCTCCTGGCTCTCACTCCCACCGCCGCCACCTGGAGGGGACATGGCAGGAAGTCAGGAGAGAAAGCTCTAGAGCTGCCGTTCTCAACCTGTGGGTCGCGACCCCTTTGGGGGTCAAACGACCTTTTCACAGGGGTCGCCTGAGACCATCGGAAAACACATATATAATTACATATTGTTTTTGTGATTAATCACAATGCTTTAATTATGTTCAATTTGTAACAATGAAATTGGGGGTCACCACAACATGAGGAACTGTGTTAAAGGGTCGCGGCATTAGGAAGGTTGAGAACCACTGCTCTAGAGGCAGCTCTCTGGTCCAGACCCTCAGGAGGGACCCAAAAGCCCTGGATCGGTGACAATGGAAGCATGGCAGAAACTGAAATGCCCAGAGGTGAGGGTTGACTTAAAAATGCACCCCAGCCCTGGCCCTTTTGGCTCAGTGGATAGAGCGTCAGCCTGCAGACTGAGGGGTCCCGGGTTTGATTCCTGTCAAGGGCACATGCCCAGGTTGCGGGCTCCATCCCCTGTAGGGGGCGTGCAGGAGGCAGCCGATCAATGATTCTCTGTCATCATTGATGTTTCTATCTCTCCCTCTCCCTTCCTCTCTGAAATCAATAAAAATATATATTTTTAAAAATGCACCTCAAAGACTGAAAGTCACGTCACTCTGGACCCTAGTCCCTGACCCCTTCTCTGGGCTGCTCCCCCTCCCCATAGGCTCCATGCTTGGGGGTTGGCAGTGACACCACATGGGTGCCCGGGCTCCCCACCATTTCCCAAGAAATCCTGGTGCCTAGTCATCACCCGTGGGAATCAGTGAGCCAGCCATTCCAAGCCCACGCTGCACTCTGACCTCGGTTAGGGTCACACCTGAAACGAATGAAACTTGCTTTCTCTGTAAATAGGAAGGAATTTCTGTAAAGCTGCCTGGAAGTGCTACCACACGTGGTTTCTACAAGGAACTAAAGTTCCAGCAAGAACACGAGGTTCCAGTGGGAAGTCCTGAGTCCTGAGGGCTCCCCTCCGCCCTGTGAGTTAGCAGCTGTCCAGCCTCCTGCAGGCGCAGCGCCCTTGTCTGTAAATGGCTTAAGGATGCCCACCCTGCCAGCTTCCTGGGGAAGCAGGACGCGCCCTGGCACAGGCCCTGGCACATGGAAGATACCTGAAGAGTCCCTCGCCCTGTGGGCTGGGAACTAGTTTGCAAACTCACAGCCAGTTTGGAAGTGTCAAGGCTACAACCAGCTCCATCTGAAACAGCCTAAAGACCGGAAGTGTCTGAGGCTGGGGTTTTGGAAGGGAAAGGACGCACTCACAGCCCCACGTGAACATGGGGACCGGCCAGTTCCTTAACCTCCGAGTGTCTCCATCGAGGAGACAAACCCTCTCCGGGGAGCCTGAGAACGGAGAGGACAGACGCACAGCCCGGCGAGGAGCCAGGGGAGCGGAAGCCCTGCTGACCAGGGCCCACTCCGGCCGGGTCACCCCTTGCACTGCGACCTCAGGCAGGGCCTCACTGTGAGCCCCTACTGGGCTGGCAGAGACCTAAGAGGCCTTCTCCATCCCCGAGTCTGCCCTCACCATCACATGTTCATTTTCGAATGGGAAGCAGAGGTTTGATTTATAAAATTTTGCTTTCTGGTCACTTTCCCAGGAAGATACTGATTTAATGAAACCAAGAAATAATAATCCTTCTAGGAAATGATTCCTAATAACCAGGGGGCGCCCTTCCAGAGAGTACGCTGCCCGCTGCCCTCCAGGCCCCTCTCCGCGCCCAGCAGCCTGGGGCTGGGGGCCTGAGGACCGTCTCCTGGTTTAGGTCAGAAGTCACCCAGCCCCTCACCTGAGAGGGTGTCAGGCCCTGCGCCCCCATCTTCCAGACACCGGGGCTCCAGCGCGAAGGTCTTGGGCGCCGGCCCCAGCTCCATCCTGGCGGTCAGACGAAGACTCCCGGGAGCCGGCTGTGCTGAGAGGAAGGAAGGAAGCTGTCAGGGGGCAGTGGTGCTGTGAGCCCCAGCCCCGGCACTGACTGCGGGGGAACCCCCAGATCGGAGTCAGCCCCCCAGAGCTACAGCTCCACCCCAGTTGAAAGGAGGTTCGGCGTCTGCAGCTGGGAAAGGGAGGTGCTCGGCACAGAGGTCAGCGGTCCTCCCCCTCCCTGATGTTTGCGGGAGCTCACGGGCCTCGTGCCTGGGACAGCCCTGCCCAGCTCCTCCTGTGGGGGGGGGGAGGGAAGGGTAGGGAGGGGAGGGGAGGGGAGGGGAGGGGAGGGGAGGGGAGGGGAGGGGAGGGGAGGGGAGGGGAGGCGGGTGGGAACCGGACCCCCACAGGGACCTGAGGGAAGTTTGCAGGAAACAGACTTGTCCAGCTCAGGCCCCCTGCCCTGCTCAAAGCCCTGACAACTCTCTTCACTCTGGTCTCCTGCCTCTGGCCGGATCCACCCGGCGTCCCCAGGTGACCAGAGGCCGTGGGTCCCGGCCACCTGTGTCCTGGTGCCGGCTCAGCTCCACGGAAGGCAGCTTCCAGAGCTACCAGCCGTGGCCGGCCGGCTGCCCCTGGCCCTGCGCATCGGGCTCCTGAGGTCTGCGGGGTTCTTGCCTCTCGGAGTCCTCCCCGCCGTGCAGAGGGGTCCCCACATCCAGTCCTCCCTCCCCTGGATCAGGATGACCCCAGGTCCAATAGCCTTTTGGAGCCCAAGCCGTCTTAGCCGAAAGCTCTGAAGAGAAGCGCCGGCTCGCCCCGCTGGCCTCCCGCCTCACCTGGTGCGGCATTTCCTGCTGCTCCCGCGGCCTGCACGGCCTGGCGGGGAGGTGTGGTCAGCCGCGCCGGGAGGTGGAGAGCCTTCAGCCGGCTCCTTCCCGAGGCGCCTCCATCCGGGAGCCGGGGAGGCGCAAGGGCACCCGGGAGCCTTTCTGGGCACCGGGGAGGGTCGGCCGCTGTCAGGGCTGCCGAGGTCGCCCTGGGCCAAAGGAAGGGGCAGCGCCGAGTTCAAGAGCAGAAGTTGGTGTCGGCTCCCTGGGGCGCGGGCGGGAGGAGACAGCCTGGACCCAGCGCCGGCTCAGGGCTGGCCCGGCGGGACCCTCGCGCGCGCCACGGCTCCGAGCTCCGGGGCGGACAGGCGGGGTGGCCGGGCTGAGGTCGGCAGGGGCCGGGCGACACCGGTCTCGGCTCAGCCCGGGGCCCGTCCGGGTCCGGCGGGGGTCCGCCGGCCGCCACAGGTGCCCGGATACCGCGGGCCGCGGGCGGGGGGCGGGCGGCGCGGCCGGGCGGGGGTCCCCGTTCGCTCGCCCACTCGCCCGAGCGTGCGTCCGGCCGGCCTGCGTCGGTCCGTGCGGGCAGCGGCCGGGCCGGGGCGGGGGTGGCGGGGGCCGGCACAGGAAGTACCCCCGGCATCCGCATCCTGTCCCCCGCCCGCCGCCCGCGCGCCCCCGCGCCCCGGCCCCCGCCGCCGCCACTCTAGGCCGCCACGAGCTCGGTGGGCTTAACCCTTCTCGGCCCGGCAGCTCCCCCGCGGCGGGGTGCGCGCGGCGGGGACCCCACGGTGTGGGGAGCAGTGCGCACCGCCGCCTCCCCGGGCGCGCGCGTCTGAGCGCAGGGCTTGGCGACAGAGGCGCTGCGCGCGGGGCTTGGCGACCGGCGGTGGCTGCGCGCGGGGCTTGCAGAACGAGAGGCGCTGCGCGGTGTGTGGGGGTGTGTGTGGGGGTGTGTGGGGGTGTGGATGGCGGTGTGGGTGGCGGTGGGGGTGGGGCTCCCGGCCTCAGGGCGCCTCGGCCCGGGTCTAAGTGGTGGTCAGTCAGCTCTCAATGAGATGACCCTGAGTGTGTGAGAGGGCCGCATCCAGGCGCATCAGCTCTGCAGGGGCTTCCGCGTCCACACCACGGACCTCCGCCTGGACCCCGGGGCGCGAGGGCAGGCCTGCGAGGCGGGGAGGGTGTGCCAGCCTGCGCCGAGGGCTGGGCCGCCCTCATGAACTGGCGACCTAAGCTCGTCCCTTTCCGGACCCCCGTCCCTTTCCAGTGTGCTCGCCGGTGGTCAGGCTCCGTCCACGCCCCTCCCGCTGCCCACCGCCCCCCTCCTTCTCCCTTCCCCAGGTCTCTCTCCCCGAGGCGCCAGCTGCTTCCTGCCTGCGTCACGCACTCCTCCGGAGGCCTCACCTGCCAGTCTCAGGGTCCCATCACCTGGCGGCACTGCCCTCGGGCAGACCTCGCTGATCCCGAGTTCTCATTACATCTCAGAGTCTCTGACACCCAAAGATCCGGGGTAGAGACTGCTCCTGGGTGGAGTGGGGGGATGCCCACTGCGGGGGACGGAGCCTCGTGGTCACAGCGCCTCCCTCCTCACGCGCACTGGGCCTCCTTGGTCCACCTTTGGGCTCTTCTGGCCTCACAGGCACCCCGCGGGGGCTTCCCCATCGGCCGGTGCCTGAAGAGCTTGCCTCTCTGAGGGGTGACTTCGCCAGCAGAGTAGGGGCTCTGGGGGGCCGAGGGCAGCCCAGACGTCCAGCTTTGGAGGTGGAAACAGCTGGGTTCCCTCAGCCGGGTAAGCTGAGGCAAATGGTTACCTTCCACCTGTGGGTGGGACAGCGCTGTGCGCGCCAGGCGCCCAAGGATGAGTGAGCACCTCCCTCCTGCGCCTGGGAGGGCGAGCCAGCTACCTCTGCCTCCTCCTGGCTCCTGGGAGACCCGGAGGATGAGAGAATCCCCTCCTGGAATCTCCCCCCCCCCCCCCCGCGCCCCCTGCTGCGTTCTAACTGCGACAAGCCTCTCCCAACTTGAAAACACACAGCCCCTCTCTGTCCTGCCCTTGGCGGCCCCTCTTCCTGGAAAGATGTCCCCTCGTGGTTCTGTCCATATCCCCATCTGCCCCCCCTCTCCCCCCCTCCAACCTGGCCTCCACCCCATCACCCCACCAGACAGCCCCCTTTAGTGTCGCCAGTGACCTCCATGTCACCAATCCCTCATCTTGCTACACGTCTAGGCAGCACTGGACACTTGTCTGGTGGCCGCCAGGAGTTCTAGAAGGGCCTGGGCTCCCCCCTCTGCCTCCTGTGCAGGCTCTGCTTCCTTCGCTGGACTGGTTGCTCGCCTTCCCATGATGCAAATCACAGGAAAGTGTCTTCCCCAACATACATTTTCCCTGGAGTCTTCCTCCTGCCCACACCTGGGCTCCCAGCTCAAACACCAGCCACCCTTTCTCCTCCTCTCCTTCCCTTTACCTTTTTTCAAGGTGACACATATACCTAGTTGAGTAAGTCCAATGGTTCTATGTGGCTTTCGCTGCAACAGACATATCTCTTAACTTCTGAGTCCACTCCCATTTCTCCTGCCGTCTCGCTGTTTCCGATGAATGTGCTAATGGTGCTGTCACGTGGTTAGGTGGCATCTTTGACACTTTCTAGGTGGCATCTATTGACATCCCACTTTGAGAGATGCAGATGGACACCAAGGGGAAGTTTGGAACTTCAGGAATTGGAGAAAAGGCAACAGAAATGATAAACATGCATAAATGTAATAGACTTTTTCTCCTCATAAGTTCTTTTTTTAAAAAAATGTATTTTTATTGATTTCAGAGAGGAAGGGAGAGGGAGAGATAGAAACATCAATGATGAGAATCATTGACCCGCTGCCTCTTGCACGCCCCCTACTGGGGATGGAGCCTGCAACCTGGACATGTGCCCTGGCTGGGAATCGGAGCATGAGCTCCAGGTTGATAGGTCGGTGCTCAACCCCCGAGCCATGCTGGCTGCGCTAGTTTTCATTTTAAAAACTCTTGATGATGTTGAACATCATTTCCTCAGTTGAAGGCACAGGTGCCATTAAAACACTGCATTTTGAAGCAGCTGGAAGATTTCTGTGTTTTTTTCTTTTCCTTTTTGTTAATTCTCACCTGAGGATGTTTCCATTGATTGTTAGAGAGAGTGGGAGGGGGGAAGAGAGAGAGAAACATCAATGCAAGAGAGACACATCAATTGGTTGCCTTCTACACACACCCTGGTCAGGGCCAGGGATTGAACCTGCAACCCAGGTACACACTCTTGACTGGAAACCAAACCTGAAACCCTTTGGTTTGCGGGCCGCTGCTCTAACCGCTGAGCACACCGGCCAGGGCGGAGGGCATTTTTATTAACGTGTGCCAGCATGTGGAAAAGTGTGCATCAGCGTACATCAATCAACACAAACCGCACACACTCGTGTCACCGCATGAAGCAGCCTCTTCTGATTATTACCCATCCTCCACCCTCCTCTTGACTTCTAACACCACGGGTAGCATTTTAAAGTCTAGAAAATGCAGCTTAAAAATATATGTCCATCTTCTCCTGAAAACGGAGGTCCTGGCAGCACTCACCTGGGTCCGGGTGCCAGGCACAGCAACCATCCAGGTGCTCTCCAGCTAAGCAAAGTGCCCAGCTCCCCCTGGTGGCTAATTCTGGAACCTTCACCCATTGCCATAACCTGCCGGGTCCTTAGGGAATGGCTGGTCCTCTGCTGATGGCTATTCACACTATTTCTGAATTTTCCGTATTAAAAGATACTGGCCCTAGCCAGTTTGGCTCACTGGATAGAGCACTAGCCTTCAGACTGAAGGGTCCCGGGTTTGATTCCGATCAAGGACACATGCCCAGTTGCAGGCTCAATCCCCAGGAGCGGGTGTGCAGAAGGCTGCCAATTGATGATTCTCTCTTATCATTGACTAGAGGCCCAGTGCACAAAAATTCGTGCACTCAGGGGGGTCCCTCAGCCCGGCCTGTGCCCTGTTGCAGTCCGGGACCCCTTGGGGGATGTCCACCTGCCAGCTTAGGCCCGCTCGGGCCTAAGCTGGCAGTCAGACATCCCTCTGGCAGCCTGGGAGCCCTCACAGGGAGCAGGCCTAAGCCGTTAGTCGGACATCCTTAGTGCTGCCAAGGAGGCAGAGAGGCTCCCACCACTGTCACTGAGCGGAGCTCCCCCTGTGGGAGTACACTGACCAC